GTTGGGGATCGAACCCAAGTCTTTGCACATGCTAGGCAAGTGCTCTACTGCCCCGCCCCGCAAGATTATTTTTATGTAAAATACATTCTGAATTCCAAAGAAATAGATTACAAATGAACTTTTGAAATGCGACTTGTTTCTTTACATATATATATTTAGTTTTAGGTGGACACAATATTTTGTTTTTATGTGGTTCTGAGAGTCGAACCCAGTGCCTCATGCATGCCAGGCGAGCAGGCTATCACTTGAGCCACATCCCTACCCTGAAACTTGTTTCTAAGATGAATTCTGCCTTTATATTGTTTGATATAATGAGAAGTTAATGAGAAATAAATAAATGTAATGTCAAGATATATTTTATAGGCTTCACTATCAAAATTATGTAACTTACAACTAAGAATACGTTGTTCTTTTAAATTATTTACCAATTCATTTTTTAAAAATCAAATTTACACTTGGAAAAAGCACTATATAGTAGTGAAGTTCCAATATCTCCAACAAAAAAAGTTACTCAGAATTTTACAAAAACCCTTTTAATTGTATACATTGTTAATGTGATACTATTTATCCATGGTTCTCTAAAATGCTGATAAGGATTAATTCCACAGTGATAAATTAAAGGTATGTTTGTCTCATTTGATATTCAATTATAGAACAAGCTTATTGGCTTCCAACAGCAAATATCTGGTTAGTGCATGCCATTCTTGGTCTTGAATCAGACTTTACTGTAGGAATGCTAATGACTGATCAATCTAATTGAGATAGTAAAAAGTCATGGACTAGTCCCTCTAATTGATAATTATTTCCCAGTGTCCTATTATTTACTAGAAAATGTTGATTTTTCTCCATTGGACCACTGTCGATTTGTAACTCCAGTTTCTATGCCTTGCTTTCTTGAGCCATTCATTAGAATATTAGAATTTGGATTCCTTTTATCATCTTGAAACTTGGTTATTTGCTTCTTGTTACCAAAATACTACTGTACAAATGACATCTTTGGAGGCCTTTAATCATCTTTTGACAACTTTAACAAATCATCCAACGGTGTTACGTCACTTATTTTATGAACTTCCAATATTTTTTTCGAAGGCTTTGAGTAGTCTTTAATAGGTGAGGCAGTGAATTTGTGTGTGTGCACCGGCTTCACTGTAGAAAGAATTCTTTCAAATTTGTGAGTTTTATCACTCTTTTCTCGAATAACAGGTTTATCAAGATAGCCCACACATTTTTTTGTGAAATGGGAAAAAGTCGGTGAGATAGTATAACTTCTACTCCAAAGTCTGTCTTTTGATGGCTGATCACAAGTATTCTTCACTGTTTTTTGGTCCACTCTCAAAGGTGTGGCTTGTTTATCTTTTTCAAATGTTATACGTGTAGTTCTTTGGGGTTCTGAAAAGGTAATCACTTCGTTACCAATAAAAGATTTGAGCATCGCACAGTTTCTTTCCAAAACAAAATTTGTTCTTTTATGAGGGTAAAGTTTTTCGTTTTGCCAAAGATGGGCAGAAAGTCCATTTTTTGTGAAAAGTAACATTTGAATATATTTTTTATCATGGAAAATTATGGGATTTGTGTCCTTTTGTTCCTGAGAATTAAAGGAAAGAATACTTAGTCATAAGTCTATTGAGGTAAAAAAGCTACAAATATTTTAAATATGAAAATAAAATTTTCATATAGGATAGAGCATTGGGATGGTATTTTTTAAGTTTATGTCTTCTGTAATTTAAAAAGCATACCAAAAAATGATTATGTAAAAAAAAATCATAAGAGACATAACTGATTGTAAACCAAAATTACAAACACCGGGTTATTCTAGTACAAATTCAAAAAGTTAAAAATTATCTGATAATGGTTGTATCTATTGTAAACCAATACTTAGCATAATACTTAGCATACAAAAAAATATGTAACATATATTTGTGGAATAAAATAGCCAAAATAATAGGTTGACTGAAAGACAGACTTTTTACCATAATAATGGTGAAATCTGTTTGTATGATTTGCAATTTTAAATTTTCCCCTCAATTCCTTTTTTAGCTTTCATATTCTCTGTCTTGTCCTAAGTAAAAAGTTTTAACTCCAAAGAAATTGGTCAAATACATATATTATCAGTATTCATTTGGCAAATGTAAGTCAATGATTGTTACTTTTTCTTTAAGGCTGTAATTAGTGAAATAAGAAATTAAATTCAAGCCTGTCTCAGAGACTAAGACAGGAAGATCATGAGTTCAGAGCCAGCCTCAGCAAAAGCAAGGCACTAAGCAACTCAATGAGACCCTGTCTCTAAATAAGATACAAAAATAGGGCTGGGAATATGGCTCAATAGTTAAGTGTCCCTGAGTTCAATTCCTGGTCTCCCCTGCCCAAAAAAAGTGAAATTAAATTCATCTTTTATGAGTGCTTTTAGTATGAAAGGTACATTGATGTCTATGATTACTAGAAAAAAATATTTAGTTTTGTGATCACAAGTTTTCCTATTTAGCCACAGTAGTGAAAGTCTCTTATATTTTTGATCTGCCCAACACCTTAGGGAATTTCCTACCTTACAGGTCTATGTGTCCTTGGGTGAAACAGAAACTATCTTAGGTAGCCTTTCTGGGGCTTGAGCACAGGCATTTGATATAGGCTCTGCTAATCAGATATACCTAGGAGAGTCTTCAGTTCAGAAAAAGGAGGCAGTGTGAAAAATTGCAGACTGTGGGAAACTATTCTAATGAGGGTGGTAGAGGCCATATCTAGCTTTGAGAGGCATCAAGAGCAAAGGCCTTAGAAAGTGTAATCCCTTGAGCATCAGTTGTGAACTGATCTGTACAATAGCAAGGGCCCCAGTGGAGCATTCTAGAGCTATACTTGAGTGATTCCTGACTAGATAACTTTTATGACAGGTTATCTTTTTAGCTTTCTCTGAAGTTCATAGTATTAGTATTTATTAAATAATAGTAGATATTACCACTTGAGAAGTTTCTGTCTTTGCTGGACTAATGTCCACTATTTTGGCATTTGGATTTTTCAGTTCATCCTCAAAACACAAGGGGAGCAAGGTGTTCTTTCTTACTGAACAGTGGTCACTCAATGGATCACTTGTGATTGGCTTCTTTTCTTTTGTACTGAAATCATTCGTTGCTGGAGGATACTTCCTTCTGAAAATGAACACAAGTTCAAGGAATGGTTTATTGGATTGATTTCAGGTTTTCGGTTCTTGTCTGCCTCTGCTTATCCCTATACAAGTCACTGACGACATCTCCAATTCCTGTTCCATAGACTTTCAACCAGATAAGATCATCAGTCTGGTTTGTAGGAGAAAACAGCAAAGCAGAGGTGGCAGCAAGACAGTCTTTTGTGGGACTTTGAGGTGGGAACGGAATGTATTGTGTAGGTTGAGGAGAGCATACAAGTAGAGAATTCTTAGCCACACCCTTTAGTGAGAATTTTAGAGAAGCTTTGCAGGGTAGATTCATGTCAACATAAGGTGACTTAAATTTTGTTAGGAGGATGAAATAAGCATAAAGAGGATTCCAGGTCTTCCTTGGTTCACTCAGGATGTGGATAGTGATTTTAGGCTAGTCACAAGGGCTTATTATTGCAGGATGGAGGTGACCTGCAGCAAAGGTTTGACAAAGGTGAAGTATAGATAGTCTCGTGGAAAGAGAACCAGCCTGGAGGGCATGACAGAGACTCAGAGGGCCTTCCACACCAGTGAGAATCAAGAATGGGCCATAGCCAAGCTCAGAGAGAACTCGCCATGGGTTTCATGAATCCTGGGGTTGCCAATCCTGATAGCAGCACAGGTACATTGGTCAGGTATATTTTCCTCATTCTCAGAATTCATTGAGCCCCTCACCTGTATACTCCTCAGATATTAACTTGGAAAGAAACAGAAGAATGAGTTAAACCTCAAGAGACTATTCATTATTGCTCTAAACAGAGTTTAAATACATTGGATTAATAGGACTTTTTTAAATTATAGAGGTTTAGAGGCTCCTGAGAAAGAAAGATCAGAACTTGATGGAAAAAAATAAAGAAGCTACTTTTTTTTCACATCCATGTTATAGTGTAATTAAATTCATCTCTCTACTACAAAAACATAACTCTGTTCCTTCTGCTCATTTTTTTCAGGGCTTCCTCACCAGCTAACTTTGCTCCAAGTCTGGAGCCTATGAGCTGAGTAGCGTTGGACCATTCACTGGATGGCACTATATGGAACTAAATGTTGAAAATAAGCTAAAATAAATTCATTGTGGTCAATTATAAAATAAAAGGAAAAACTCATATCCTACTAGAAACATCACTGAACTGAATAGAATGTTAAAAATTTTAAAGTAAATTACCTCTTATTTACATCATCTTCTAAGAAACCAATTGACTCCAATGATTTTCTAGAATTTTTTTCGATTTGAGCTGAAATTATAAAAGATTTTCATAAAAGACACACATATATTATGGCATTTAGAAAATATTTGTATAAAATATTTTACAACTTAAAATAACATGAGAGCACCTGATCTGCAGTAGCTACTCAATAAGTAAGTTCTATCTTGAGTGAACAAGAAAGAACTGGAAAAGACAGATGGAGGCTTTAATATTTAATTAAGGCAGATGGAACACACATGTGATGATGTCCAAAGGGAGATGTCTTGCAGAAGGAAGCTTTCCTAAATTTTCAGGCCTGGCTTGTGTGTCAAATCATTATTAACCAATAAGAAGCCTCATATGGTTAAACACTATTGCTGTGGAGAGAAGTCATTTAGCAGCTATTGAACAGATCTTGCCACCTGGCATAAAGGAAGTGCCCAAGGCTGAACCTTCCAAATATGCCAGATGACCACCACAGCATTTTTCTGCTTTCCCAAGTGTTCTCTGATACACATGTTGTTAGCAACATATTAAGCATTTTCCTGTCCTCTGGTCGTTGATATTCTAGTGCAGTGCTTCCTAAACTTTCCACATCATGGCAAACATTCTGATGACTACTATTTGTATAGTACACCTGGATATACACTTGAGTAGACCTGTGTGGCAGGCTGTCACAGGGCCAACTGAACAGCCTGAGGGCTGAAGAATCAATATTTTAACATACATGTTTTAGAACTCCCTCAAAAGAATTACTCCTTTCACTCTAGCAATCCAGTGGGTAGAGCATCACACTCCAGAAGACCCCACCTAAAACTGCTGAGAAGAGAAGCTGAGAATATTTTCAACTCCAACGGAAAGAATTCTATAACTTTTCCTTAGTTCTTTTTTACTGTTTAATTGTGACCTTAATGGCACATGAACATTTATACAGTTTCAATTTCTTTTTCTACTTCTCATTTCTAGCATTTTTGAGGCCAGTTATTTTACATGGATTAGTTTTTGTGAACTAGGATTTTTGACTAGCATATTTTAGTTTTGTTTTGTATTCCTTATTTTAATTTTTAATTAAAAAATTTTCTCCTACTGTTTTGCTTGATTCTTTTCTTCTGCCAACAGTCAATCTCTATTTTTCTCTTTCACTCTTCCTTTAATATTGACTTCTGTCTTCTCTCTTCCTCCTTCCTAATCATTACATCCTATATCACTTCTGTTTTCTCTTTGTCTATTATTTGAAAATGTAAACCCTTTTTGCAAACTTGCTGTTTTTAATTATGGGCAATAACTGATCATATTATTTCTGTTTATTGTGATAATTAACATTGTAGACATCATAGCAGGAACTATTTGGCTTAATGCTGTAAATTATTTGCATTGGTTTTTGTTATTACTTGTCTCCCCCTAAACAGTGAGATACTGGAAAGCTTCAGGGATACCATAAGTCCACAGGGTAAAAACTCTACTGCCTCAGATCCATACTGTTAGATGGGCAGACATACAAACAACATGAAAAAGCAAGGGAACAAATCACCCCAAGAAAACAAAGAAACTCCAATACTAGAATCCATTGACACCACAGTGGAAGAAATGTCAGAGTAGGAGTTTAGAATGTACATGGTTTAAACTGATCTGCAAAGTAAAGGATGATGTAAGAAAGCAAATACAGAGAGCAAAAGATCAGTTCAATAAAGAGATAGAGAGTGTGAAAAAACAAACAGAAATCCTTGAAATGAAGGAAACAAATTAAATATTCAATAGAAATCATCACTTATAGACTAGGCAACTTGGAAGACAGAACCTCAGGCAATGAAGACACAATATATAATATTGAACATAGAGTTGACCACAGAGAGAAGATGTTAAGAAACAATGAAAAGAACTTCCAAGAATTATGGGATAATATGAAAGGGCCAAATTTAAGATTTATCAGGATAGGTCAAGGCATAGAGATATAAACCAAAGGAATGCCCAATCTTTTCAATGAAATAATACCAGAAAATTTCCCAAATCTA